GAGATAAATTTCTTAAAATACTCTTCCAAGCCAAATAAAAGGCAACATCTTGTGAATTATTTATAGTGCACTAAATAAAAGTCGCCATTATGCTGATGAGTTTTAAATTTCTGGGTTATGGTGTTACTTTCACAAGTGAAATTGACCATGAAGTGGGAGGAGGATTTGCCTTTAGTCTGTCTTAGTGAAGTCATGTTAATGAATTTAATGTGCCCATATGAGGTCTCAGACCCTCAGAGAAGACAATGTTCATATTTTAATAATGGATATCTTGAAATGACTTATAGAACTCCAGACATTTGTGAGATTATATTTGTATTACTTTCAGGACAGATGCGAGCACACACACACACACACACACACACACACACACACGCATTTGCTCTCACTTTAGAGGAAAAAAATGTCCCTTCTAAGGAATCCGTCCAATTCTACTGGAATTATTAATGGATTTTTTTTTTTTGCATTTTGTATTGATATAGGATAAATATAACTCCAGACCTACTAGATGTCAGACGTGTCCCCTACGATAGAAGAATGAGTTCCAACGAAAATGGAGATTAAGAGTAGGAAAGGTTTATTGAGAGATAGCTCCCAAGAGATGGGAGGGTTGCTAAATAGGTTGCCGTCGTGACCCCTTGTCAGGCTAAATTTGTATAGCAGAGTCACAATGTATATACACCAAGGAGCAAACCACAATTAATTTATAGGATTCAAAGTATCTAATATTGATCCAACAGGGAAACGAGTCACATGGTAGGGGTACATGGAAAAAACCATGGCATTTTTGGGAAGGAATGGTCCAGATGCTCTGGTCACCCGCCTGGGTGTCTGATGCCTATCTGGACTCACTGGGTCAGGTAGGCTAATTACAGTATAATCCCGAGTTACTGCTTAACTGTTAGGGAGGTGGGTAGGTTTGGCCATCACATCACTATGCTGAGGCCTGGACTTGTTCAGATGCACCTCAAGCCTCAATTCTGATGTCTTTATTTTTTTACTGACTTCCTTGAGAGCCCAGTTCCTTTCTGAACTGTATGTAATTTCTAACTGACTTAGCTGTCTATAGTAGTGCAACTCTATGATTTATTTATATATAGAAATATGACCTATCTAAATGTCACGAAGACAGAAAAGAAGTCATTTAGCTTTATATAACTATGAAATGTCTAAAAAATAGGGAATAAATTCACCATGAAAGTGAAATTAAAATGTTAGGATATTTCTGTATGATCTCTGTATTTTATTTCATTGAAAAGTAAGACCCTTTGAAATAAATGTACCTTGATTGAACAAATGGCTCCAATTCCCTAATTTTCTATTTTTTAGTACAATTTTGATTGAACTTATAAAGATCTGTATTAAGGGCACAGTTTTCACATTTAGCCTTTGAATATTACAGTGAAGAACATTCTGATGACATTGATGATATACACAGTAGTATTTGCTATAATTTTATTAATTGAAATCCTAATTTGCATTATTTATTGTCAGTCAAGTGTTACAGATGTTTTTGCTCTTCTTTAAATTAAATAATGTCAGTATCCAATTCTAATATGAGATCAGTAGTCCTTACTTTTATTTTGACAAGTTGTGTGTCACTCAGAGGCATATTCCTTAAGTCCATTCTTAACTATCTTGATCTTTGGTTTTAAATGTTAATGTTTTCCTCCATCAGTAATTTTTAAAGCCTTATATATAAGATTAAAAGGAGTTAACTCTAAGAAAGTTTAGTTACTTTGAGAATGGGCTGCTTTAGATTCACTTTCCTTTTTCTAAGACATATATAATTTTTCATATTGATAAATTGGTATCCTTCTTTTTAAATTTACTAACGAACAGAAAAAGCGTAGATAAAAATGGCATGACAAAAAAGTATGACATTCACTTATTTCAAATCAAAGAAAATGAATGCAACATAAAGTGCCTTAACTGAACAGTGACAAGATATTAAAAGTAGAGCACGTAAAAACCGGTCATTTAGAATGAGTTATGGATTATTTGTCTGCCAGCCCGAGCTCACGTATAATACCCCTGTTCTGAAAGCCTCATGTAACTGAAAAGGGGCTACAGGGGCTAAATTAGCTTGTTAATTAATACATAATCTTCACAGTAGAAGAAAACCTTCATTAACTGTTAACAATGGACCTATGATCTTAAGGCTAATACTAAGTTGGCTTTTTCTCCTTTTCTGTTGGAGATAAATTTAGCCAGAGAGAAAAAGTGGCAGTTCTGTATGCACTGCTACTTAGATCTTAATGTAGGCATTTTATTTGCCTGAAACTGAAGCATTTGCCTTCATAGAAAATGAAGTGCTTTAGTAAAACTAATAAGCATAATCCTATCACATAAAATTTCCAAACAAGGTTTTTAAGCTAAAGGAATTAGAAAGATATAAATGCTGGTAAGTGGAGAAGCTGTGAGTGCAATTAGGTCCTCTTAAACTAAGCAGCTGTAGTTATTCCTACTTCATGTTTTTTCTTCAGGATTTCAAAGAGAAGCTCTATTCTATTTTGCTTTCTTATTTTGAGGGTTAAGGAAATTTTCAGATATTTTGCTAGTTTATGCATGTGGTTTCCTGAGATGCAATTCTCCACCCTAGGGTCCTTTACACCCAGAAAAGTCATCCATTGCTCAAGGTTCTCTGTGCTCAAATCCTAAAGTCTGAGTAGGCCCAAAAAGGAAAGCAGTGTTTGCTCTTTAGTTTCACAGTGCTTCTAACTTCCTTTTCTTCTCTTCAGAGAGGGGAAAGTGAGATTTAGAATCGTGTAGGTAATATATTTGATTTATGTATGTATGGGAGCATGAGTTTAATTTTGGATTTCTTTTTACTAGAATGGAATAATTTTTAGCTTTTTATTTTTGAAAAGAAATATAAACATCCCACTAATACATTTATAGTCAAAATATGCATTAAGATGTTTATTCTCTTCCTTGAACATGTTACAATAGATATTGCAAAAGGGAAAGAAACTGCTCAAAAGGAAAGAACAACTGGGATGGGGGAAATGAGAAAAGAAGGAAGGAAAAAATATATAGAGACAAGATAACTAAGATAACTGTACTACTAACATCTATTAGTTCATTGAAAAGTATAGTTAGTACTTATATTGCTTGAACAATTTTGCAGGCCTATACCTGGTAATCTGAGCAACTACATTGAAGATAACAGTAATAATAATATAATAAACATTGTTAATTTTCTATCATCTTATTTTGAAATTCTGTATTGTTTTATTATTTTTATTCTCTTTAACATATCGAGAGCAATTAAGATCTTAAAAATGTTTATTCTCAAATCTCACTTTTTAATCATTGAAATGGTGTTCTATGAAAACTCATAATACTTTGATAGAGTACTTACAGGCACGATGCTATAATAGATATGGAACTATATGGTTCTCTAAGCTCTCAGGGCAAGAAGAGCCCTTTCATTTTCTAGTTATTATTCTCCATTCTCCTCAGCGCTCAGAGCTTAAAATTGCGCCATATAATAGGGAAGGAATGTTCTTATCTCAGAAGTAATAAGTGAAGGATGAATCTCAAGGGTGAGAAATTGATCGGTTTCGTAGTTCCAAGTCTATTAAAGCTAGTTCACGCATTAGAGTTCTATCTGTGCATGATAGAGTTCAGAGAGGAGACCAAAACTACATATTAATTTGAACAAGAGGAGTCTAACCTATGGCAGGGATTGGAGTAAGGAAATTATTGGTTAAGGAGTAGAAAGAATTCTAAAGAATTGAGAAGAATGGGTACATTGAGAGGCCTGAGGTGGAGTAGCTAAGGAAAGACATCTGAAAGGTCAGTCTCCCCGCACTGGGGTGTGAATCTCTTAGGAGAAGGTGTAACTCGGTGGTGTTGGAGAGGTTTCCTGAGGTCGCCACCCTGTTGTTAATGCTTAAAATTGTGCCGTATAATAGGGACGAATGTTCTAATCTCATGAGTAAGACAATGAAGGATGGACTTGGAACTGTGAGATAATAGATTGATCCCTATCTCACTGTCGGTATCAGAAAGCAGAAATCCACTTTCTTAATCATTTTGCCACACTGCCTTATACTTTCCTTACCAGGAAAAGTGGCGTTTAACAGTAGAAAGGCAAATAGGAGGAGGATTCAGGGAAAATGTAATGAGGTTAAAGGAGGCTAATGTAATAATGCACGCAGAGGTTTACATTAGTCTCTTTTTTCCTGAAATATTTCTTACATAGAGTCACTTCAGATGCTTAGGAGGCTGCTTCATTGAATTTCAGGACACTTACTTAGCAAAGAAAAGCTGAAATTAAGAACTGGAGAACTGAGAGCCATAACTAGAGTTTCCTTGTCTACTAGTTAGTGCATGTCATGTGCAGTTGATAAAGGTTTGTTTGCAACTAAGAGTGTCTTTAGATAATCCACATGACTCTGCTTCCTTTGCAAACTAAGATTTGGGCAAACCATTTATGTGGATCGCAGTTTTTCTCATATAAAAGGAAATAATAGTAGGACCTCCTTCCTGGATGTGTTCTAAAAATTAAGTGTGTTAATATTTTATGCATTTTTATATTTTCTTAAAGACAGCCTAGGGATATTAATTCTTACAGTAGATCCAGTTTATGGAGCTTTACATTTAATCATAATATTTTTCTCAGATTAATCAGAGTCCATTCATTAATGACAAACATTAAAATACATGGTTAGGTTGTAGAATATGTAATATGAATGTTGTTTAGTGTTATTTGAATTTATTTTCTATAACTTTAATAACTACTGCCTTAAACCAATAGCACTTGAAGGTACTATTGGTAAAACCTGCACTCTTTAATTTTTGCCAGGAATTGTGTGAATATTGAGATTTTTGGTAGAGTAACTGATAAAAAAATTTCATGTTTTCCATGTACTTCTTCATATCAAACTAAGTAGTTTGCAATTTGTATTTCTTAAAAGACAAAACATTCTATAAAATGTCTAAAGTTTAAAATTTTAAAAATAGTTCCTCTTTTTTTTTTTTTTTTTAAACAGAGAGACACAAATACTATGAAGCGGTCAGAAAGTCTCAGGCAATTGAAATGGTGTTTACACTCTATCCTCCTCGCGGTGCTCACGTGGTCAATAACACGTACATCAAATCAACCTGGCTGAGGCCCATCGTCAATGGCGAAGAAGGATATAAATATATTGGTAAGATGCTCAACTTTATTTTCTTATAATAAAGAAGAAATGACTCTGCTAAATAACTCCTATTCATCATTAGATGATGTGGGGTGACACATAGGCCCTCTAAAATGTTACATCTCCTTCCTAGATAGTTTGCCTGCAATTCACAAATGCCTTTGGTGCCTCCTCTAGAATAGTGGACATATGATGTGTTTATCCGCTCACCTCTTGATGGACACTTGGGCTGTTTTCATTCTTGGATTGCTACAAGCAAAACTGCCATAAACATTCATGTACAGACCTGTCTATTGATGAGTTTACCTTTCCTTTAGCTGCAGTGCTTTCCAAACTGATTATACGATTTTATGTTCTCCACCAGCAGAGATATGGGAGCTACATGGGTTCCACAGCTGTATTTACACTTCTCTTTTCTAATTTTAGCTAATCCAATACACATGTATTGGTATCCTAGTTGGTTTAAAATAATGACATTTGACTTCTTTTAATGTATTTGCCATTTATGTATATTCATCATTAAAGCATCTGTTCTTTTAGCCGTTGTGATATTCTTCAGGATTTTTAAGTTTTTAGAGCGCTTAAATATTCTTGGTACAGGGCCGGGCATATAGCTCAGCCGCACAGTTCCTGTCTGGCAGGTGCAAGGTCCTGAGTTCAGTTCCCGGTACCAAAAAAACCCAAAAAACAAAAAACCCTCAAGATATCCTTGGTACAAATCATTTAACACATGTATACTTGGAAAAAAGTTTGTCTTTTCTTTCCTTTAACAATACATGTTGAAAAGTCTTTTGAAAAGACTTTTAATTTTGATGAAACCTGTAGTTTACCATGGTATTCCTTTATGACTTTTGCTTTTTTTCTTTCATATCCTAACAAATACTGGCTGGATTAATAGCCACAAAGTTTTTTAAAAAAACTTTTATAGTGTCATACATTTCAGTGTAGCGTAAGTTTCGATTAAATTTTGTGCATGGTTCAAGGTATAGATTTAAAGGGTTTATTGTTTACATGTTTATATCCAAAATTTTAATGGTGTTTCTTGAAAAGACTGTCCTCCTACAAATGAACTGTGTACTTTTGTCAAAACCAAATACGCAAAGAAAGTATATGGTTGGCAACAAAGCACAAAATGTGCACATTAAAACCATAGTGACATACCCCCATTGGTCTATCAGATAGACTAAAATAAAATATTAAAATCTAACAATATGAGCTCCAACAAGGATGACCAGGATATAGAACATATATTGCTCCTGAGAATGCAACATAGTCCAGGAGACTTGCGAATATTTTGGCACTTTCTTATAAACTGAACGTATTTTAACCACAAAACTCAATCATCCTACTCTTAGGAAAATTTCCAAGATAAATGAAATCATTAAAAAATCCTATATGTGGCTCTAATAGCAGTATTACTCATAATTATCAAAAGCTGCAAACAACACAAATATTTTTCCACTGGTGAGTGGACAAACTCAGTTTGGCACACCCCCGCAAGGGTACACCATAGAGCAATAAACAGGATGATATGAGCTACTGATGAACAAAACGTAGATGAATCTCAAATGCATCATGGTAAGTGAAATAGGTCAGACTCAGAGGGGCCATGTATTGTATGATTCCATTTAAATTAGACTTTGGAAAAAAAAAAAACAACTAACCTGTAGCAACAAATATGAGGCCTGTGATTCCCAGAGCTCAGTGTTGCTGCGAGAGTTCTACCAAGAGCCAGAATGAGGGAGTTTTGGAGTAATGAACCTTTTCTCTATATTGATCAAGTTACCAGTTGTACAATTGTGTCAGTGAAGACCCATAAAACTGTACACTAAATTAGCACATTTTACTATGTGTAAATTTTTAACGAACAACAAAACGAAAAGAATATTTATACAACTGTCCAGCAGTCAAATAAAAGCTTTACCATCATAAGTCATCAGGAAAATCTAAATTAAACCTAAGTGAAGCATTACCACATGGCTACCAAAATGACTACAATTAAAAGACTGGCCATACCAAACATTGGCAAGGATGTATAAAAAGTAGAACACTAGCATTTTCCTAATGTGAAATAGAACAGTGTGTGAAATAGTTTGTTTTATTAAATAGTCAAATATACAATTAAACATACACCTACCATGCAATTCAGCTGTGCCCATTCCAAAATTGTGCATGAGTATTTATAGAGTCCTTTCACAATGAAATGCACACCTGAAGACGAATGGATATACATGTTATGATATGTCCATGTAGAATACCGAGGAATGTAAAAGACAAAACCTTGATAATGATACATATAACAGCTTGGATGAATCATGAAATAATGTTGCTGAGTGAAAGAAGCTGTACAAAAAAAGAGTATATACTATGTAAGTTCAATTACATAAAACTCTAGGAAATGATAACTAATTTGTATTGCCCAAAGGAGATAGGATATTGGAGGTGGGAGTGGAAGTGGGTGATAATAGGTTAAAAAGATTAAAATGATGAAAATATTTATCATTTCAGTTGTGGTGATTTGTTTCTGGACATAGACATATCAAAATGCATCAAACTGTACACTATACATAGTTCATTTTTAATCATTTATTTCTCAATTAAGCTATAGAATGACATTAAGGAATGAAGATACTGAAACATTAATTTTGGCAATTTTTTGAATGATGTTCCTTTAAGTTTAAAAGCTTGTGTTTTAGAACTTACTGAAACAGAGTCATAGAGTCATTGGCTGGAGATATAGCACAGTGGTAGAATTTGCAAGGACCTTATTTCGATCCCTAGCACCATAATAAGTGGAGAGAGAGAGAGAGAGAGAGAGAGAGAGAGAGAGAGAGAGAGAGAGAGAAAGAGTGTGTGTGTGTGTGTGTGTGTGTGCATGTGTGTATGTGTGAGAGAGAGAGAGAGAGAGAGAGGAGTATGTGTGTGTGTGTGCATGTGTGTATGTGTGTGTGAGAGAGAGAAAGAGAGAGAGAGAGAGAAAGAGAGAGAGAAGGATGAGGAAGAGAATGACAAGGAAGAGGAAAGAGAGAGAGGAGGAGGAGGAAGAGGAGGAGAGAGAAATTCAGTTGAATTTCACTGGATTGGTGCATATGAAGGAATATTTAACTACTCAGCTCTGTGGTAACCTACAGGAAGAACTGGGAAGGAAAAAAGAATCTGTTAAGTCGAATAATTTGGGTTCCATAATATGAATTGAGACCCTGGCTGCTATTTAATTTTTCCTTGCTGTTCTCACCTAAGATTTCTAAAACATGGCCTATTTCTCACTAAACATATGTGTTTGGTGTCTAGATTCCATTTCCAAATTTTTTAAATAAAATAAATAAGGAAATATACAAGTGGCTTTATGTTGTAACTTGAGGACTCTCTTTCAAGATTTTATGGTGATCTTCCCCTTTCTCTTTTAGTAAGTGACCAGAGACTTGCATCTTTTGAATTATAGTTGTTATTAAATTGACTGACAAGTGAGTTGAAGCATTTGCCTTGAAAAGATTAGTCTATTACAGAAGTGCTTTGTGAAACTAAGTAACTCCTACTATAAACATTTGAGGGAAGATAGCTCTGGGAATTTATGATGTGTTCCAGTATTAAGACTCCACAATGCAAGCACTCTTGTTTATTGATTTCACTCTGTAGATTCAGAGATGTATCATCAGCAAGAACCAGTGAATAGTTCATAGAATCACTTGTGCTCTGTAAATGCCTTGAATTGCTAACAAATTATCTAGCATTAAGACTGCATTCTCTAAACATTCTCCTGGCTATCCTATTTTTATATTTCATAATTCTTACAACTGTGGCTTCCATGTAACTGGAATGCCGTGTAAGTCATAATTTTAATTTGCTTAATGCACATGAAGACAGTTCTGAATAATTTTTTAATCCCATCAAGTAAAAAGTCTTTTCTTTTTCCCCAGGAATACATGCCTTATAAAATTTAGTTCATAAAGGCTTTTTCAGGAAGCTAGTGTTTTAACACTTCATTGGTTGTTTTTCCTTATAAACTCTGTCCTTGAGCTCTTCTGACCTTTTGGCCTATCACAAAAACTGAATTTGTTTCTGTCCTTCAGTATGTTTTTGTGACCTTGTTTAATGTTCAACCTGGAAGCTGTAGATTGTATTGCAGAATATCTTAGGCCTATAGATCTTGGATATACCATGAAGGGGTAGATTAGCCATTATCTTTCAAGGAAATCATTTAGGAAATATAAATGGATGCTTAAATTACTGTCTGAAACCAATGGTCCATTTTAACTGAAATCATATTATTGTATTACTGTAAGGTTTCAAATTAATGCAGATCCTGAGTAATGAGCAAAGACCTCTAGTTTTACTGCTAGTTCCTTTTTATATATAATTTACGACACTTCAAATTATAAATTCCACTTATTCTTATAACATATGGTTATTTAAATTATGCAATTAACACCAAAACCTGATTCTCTGTCTTAACTACTGTTTTGTTACCCATTTAAAAGTACAAAGCATTATTTTATGTCATTCAGTTTGTTCCACTGCTTTTAGGCAAGATTTAATATCTATTAACCAAGTGAGAATCTCTCCTATCCATAAAGACTGCAATTACATAGTTGTCCTTGATATGCAAGTCTGACTTTTGATTATCTTAGAATTAACCTTGTAATATAAGTAAGACTTTCTTTTCTTATATTCCCTTAAGTGTAGGTTAACTTTTTCAGTAGTCACAAAAAAAGGCTAAGCATAGATTATCATGACTGTCTTTTCTAAAATTGACCATATAAAATATTTTTAGAAGACCTCTTTGATTTTTTGACACGTCTCTAAACATTTTTTTCATATTTCCCCATTTCTTTTAGTAATGGAACTTGGAATAAGATGTCATATTCCAGTACATGTCTGATTTATTATGACCATAATCTTAGTTACTACTGCCTATATTTTTGTACCTTTTTGAATGCCTTGAATTGCTAACAAATTAAATGAACTTTGCAATACTTATTTGTCTTTCTGCCAGTAAATTTTATCTCATT